AAATAAAATGTTATGTTTTTCGAGTAACACTCCCCCCACACATATGCCCACACAAATGCCCTTTGTCAAAAGATCTCATGCTGTTTTGATAAAACTTTAAGCAATGAGAATTGAAAATAATAAAATAAAATCTAGCTAGAATGAACTTCCCAAGCCTAGGGCAGGGTCAGGTTGTCTTTCATGACACCACTATCCAAGATAAGATGTGGTTTTTAAGACATCTTTATTTTTCTTAGCATTCATTTGAATGTCATCCACAAGTTTATCTGAATTTCATCTAGTTTCAGTTTCATGAAAATAATCAGTTTTTTTGCAAAGTTACTCTCTTCTCTTGGGGATTCTAACAAATAAAAACATTCTCCCGGATCAGCCATCCCTAAGTCATTTTTTAGTTGCCTTGGATTATAAAGGAGATGATTGTGTTTGCTAGAAAAATTAGCAAGAATGATACTGACTATTTCATTCAGAAATGTAATTATTAGGATGGCTTCTGGATCTGGGTGGTTTTATTTGTATCCATTACAGGTACGACCTTAAATTTTAAGGGCTATCCTTTTGAAAGGGATGTCCCTTTCAAGGCTCAGCGGACACGGAAGGGTTTCACATCCTCTTTTCTAACTGTCACAGATTGATTTTCCATTGCTGTGGGCTCTGGCCCATTAGCCTTGAAGTAGGCACCGTGGCACAATAACCTGTGCGTAAGAGGCAAAAGGGAAAGGTGTCTCCACACCACGTTGGAGGAACATTAAGTGTGTCACTTTTCATGTTTAGATCGCTCATGGCTGCAGGAAAAGGTAAAAATTGAAAAGCTGCAACAGAAAATCCAGCTAGCTCTTCAGCACGTCCTACAGAAAAATCATCGAGAGGACGGGATACTGACAAAGGTGAGACACAAAGGGTTTCCAGTGGCATGACCTGCACTGTGCCCTGGCACAGCTCATGATGCCCACCGTGCCTGTAAGTAGAAGAAACGGTTCTTCTGCCGAGCCTCCAAAAGCATCCGTAAGCAACACCCGGTTGAAAAGAACTGTCTCCATTTTTTAAAATGTTGTTCAGACGAAACTCATTATTTAGATTGAATCGGATTCATGATCATTACAAAGTAGCTTGAATAACAGGAACACAGTCATAGAAATTATTTTTAATCGGTGGCACATTCTGGACCCCTTCTAGGACGTCAAAGTTGAGGACAAACCAAAAATACCAAACACTGTTATTGAGTCAATGCCGCTTCATAGCGACCCTGTCAGGACAGGGTGGAACCTCCGCTGTGAGTTTCCGAGAGGGTAACTCTTTAGAGGAGTAGAAAGTCCTGTCTTCTTCCCATAAAAGTTGAGGATAAAGTTGAGCTCGTGTTCTTAATTGATTAAAAGAAATCTGAATTTAGGTGGCTAAAAGAATTCATCAACTATATACTTTAAAATTAATTCACTCTATTTTCATGAAAGGCAATAGTAATCAAATTCAACAACATACCATAAAACTACCAAGGGCTTAAGAAAGAAATCACAAGTTTATTAGAGGCAAACAAAAATGAAAATGTAGCATATGAACAACTCACAAGGAGCAGTGAAGATAATACAGCGAAATTTATAGCAATACATGCTGACCCCCCAAAAGAGAATGACCTTGAATTAGCAGCCTAACTGGACAATTTCAGTAACTAAGAGTTCCATTCTACCAGAAGAATTCTTAAAAAGATCGGAGCATAAATGTAATTGAAATCAGAAAAACAATAGACTCATTAAAACCAGAAGTTGATT